CATCCCTTACATCGCCTTTCTTCTGTTGGGCGATCAGCATCTAACTCCATTTTAATAAAAGAACTTCTACCCTGATATATCATTTCTTTCTGTGTTATAGATATCGATTATATCTCATTTTAATTCGATTCTGAGAAAAGGTTTACTCTCGATTAGTCGCTAATTGCTCTCTCTCAATTCGTTCCATTTTTTAAATACTTATGCTGGACAAGTTCTTTTATATATAACTTAACCTCCAGAAATGGAAACAAAAAAATATTAGTAGTGCATTGTTTTTATTCCATATAAATTTTTACGACCTTTCCACATTTTATGGCTAACTGTGAATTTGTTAACTCCCCTTGTCTTGAACTTGAACTTGAAAGTTTATTTTATGCCCAAGAAAACATCTTATAACAAAGGATAGCATAAAAAAATCAAAGGCTTGTAAATACAGTGTCACCACGCAGAAAAGCGAGCAACTGCGAGAAGAGAGTATAGAAGAAAAAACAACAACAAAAACCAACACACTTATATCTATAGGTAAGCGCGTAATGCTCGTTTGAAAATCGTAATTGTTTAACAAGATACAACAGTATGTGGCAGGGAATTCCAGTCAACAGCATTACGGCGGAAAAAAAGAGGCTGCATGCTCTTTCGATACTGTCGGGGTCTCAACCTGCATACTGTTTTGGCGGTTACTATACTTTACGAGTTTGGACTTCAGATTCTTCTGCGTGATGGTACTGAAAGACATGTTTTTGACACTTGTGCAATTACGATCTCCGCATCTTCACTGATTACTCTTCTTATTACTTCGTTTTTTGTAAACTGATAACCATTTAAATTCAGCATAGGTTTACTTTCTTCGGTTTCTGTGAAACTTAACATTGCAAACTGCACTCATACAACTTTTGGTCAAATTTAAATTTCTACTGCCTGCTTTAGACATGTTTCCGTGCATATTTTTATTTATTTTATTCTGACCAATATAGACGAAACCCTAGTTATTTAACACCAAGAGAACTTATGCAGAATAAGTATTTACAAAAAATGGGACAAATTGCGACTAAAAAAGGTGAGACGGTATGTGTGAGACACGCTGAAAAAAGGAATAGAAAAAAGACCGATATAGTAATGATGATACTTTTATTTAAAAATTCCTTTCTTGTTCTTCATTATAGTTACATAGCTATTATAGTTGTATAGCCCAAGACCATTTGGGTTTCTGATCTTGCTGCCATGAAAAATTATGGCTATGACAAGTTTTCTGCAGAATACTCGACTGAATACTCGACCTTACACTGTTGTTGGAATCGAACAATAGAAACATGAATTTTAAAGCATCAATTTGACTTTGGACTAAATTATCCAGAAGCAAAGTTGAGATGTTCGATTCCTTACCCTGTGCACTACTACAGTGTGTTCTACTTATACTACTGAACACATACAGCTTATAACCCTGGGCTTCAAACGCGGTCACCCGTCACCGTACTAAACAAAGCCTGTATACTCCGTGATGGGTCAGAAGACAGTGAATTTATTCAACAAAAACAGGATATTCACCAAAAAAGGAGTAAACTATTCTAATTTTCTGCTCTCAGCAGCAATCTAGTGAGATTAGAAGGAGTATTTGGTGGGTCAAAGCAACCCCTTAGATGTGTACAAATCGTACAAGTTCTTTTGCTTGATTTACAGAAGAGCTGCAATAATTGTTACATTACACGATAGAGAAGTTGTTTCACCAAAAGAGAATGTTGATAGTGAAATTACTGCAGGTCGAGACCCTATAGACCCCAGAACGATTGTCTACTATGTGGGCTGCTCTCTCAGTTTCGTTGATGTTTAATGACTACTATTTTCTCAAGGAAAATCCTCACTAGAAAACGACAAGTTTATGCTTAAAACACTATAACCCTGAGAAAGGAGTTTCTCGCTCTGATGTTATATGAGTTCAGCTGAAAAGAATGCAGTTCCACACCGCGGGACGTTTTATAAGAAGTTATTAGAGTCAGTTGGGGAAATCGGATCGATTTTTGAAAATTTCGTATTGTGTTGATAATAACTCGGTCATTTTGTATCCTAGAAAAAGCTTTTTTCACAGGAAAAAAATTTGAACATTTTTCTATCGACTGATGTAAAAGTTATTTTAAAATTCATTTTAATTATTTATCTGTAATTAAAATGAAATGAGTCCCATCGTTCTGGGGGAATTTGGATCAGTCGAGCAACGCACGATGGAGTAAATTGGATCGTTAATTAGGATCAAAGGCTAATGAGTAGGAAGTTGTTAAAGTTAAAACAATGATGTTTTGCTGGAGTGATCCAATTTACCCCATCGTGCGTTGCTCGACTGATCCAAATTCCCCAACTGACTCTATATGTCACAATGTTCGTCGTATCACAACTTGCAATATCGAGGTATATTAGTTTGAAAAAAAAGAAAACGAAAGAATAATAAATATTTCTTATGATGTAACTTTGTTTTTATTAATTTATGGTTTATTTCCAAGCGATGACTATTTTAAATAGAAATAAAAAGAAGAGAACGGAAGAATAAAAAGGGAGAAAAAGAACGGTTATTTCATGTGAAATAAAAGTAACAAAAAACGAGTTCGAGTGATTTGTTATGTTAGTTGTCAAGGAAAAACTTGAACAAAAGTTTAATGCCTTTACCATTTTACTTAATGAGCATATTTGTGTTGTTTCCTGCTTCAAATTAAAAGCACTACATAGTAAGGTAATACCAGAGAATGGATTTATATAACAAAGTTTTTGTTAGAAAAACTATAGAGCATACGCTAATATAAGGAATGAAAAATGTAGGAAATGTAGGAAAAAATTCAAGTAACAACTATAGAACTTAGAAATTTCTTTTAAAAACATACAAAACTATGTGTTGTCTAGGAATTTCTCTAATTAGATGTTTGTGCCTCATTTGCAAACCAATTAGATCTGTTATAATATCAAAACAGTTTTAATTATTTTGAAAAAGATCGTTTCATCTGTCAGCATACGCTAACAAAACATTCATCTTATCTTAAGACGGCATAATTCGGTTATGAAAAAGTCAGATACATCCGCTGTAAAATAAGACGGAAGAACATAAGATCGATGGTTTTTCCCGCCTGATTTTAAGACGGGTTAATCATCTGTTATGAGAATTGATTAAATCTTTGAAGCAAATTGCATAAACCACAGTGCGTGGCATTGAATTTGCTGTCCGGTTTCAGCCTTTGCATGTATGCAACAGTTCTAGAACCGGTGTTTGGGCATCTGGAAAAACGTTTATTACTTGGTAATTAAGAGTTGCTCAGAGTTACGGAACATCTCATTTTCTAGAGAAATGTTTGCTCTACAAAACTCACTAGTCAAAAAAAGTGAAAGGTTAATTGTGCCAAAAGTAAGTTCCATCTAAAACAGTAGAACTGTTCCCGCAACAGTTTCTGTGTTTCTCAATACTCGTATTTTCAACATAGTTAATTTTAAAAGTTTTTGGACCAATGAGTTTTGTAAAGAAAACATTTCTCTAGAAAATGAGATGTTCCAAAACTCTGAATACTTCTTAATTAATAAGCGTTTTCCTGGATGTCCAAACACCAGCTCTAGAAGTGGTGTATACCTGGTCCTTTGTAAGAGAAATAAAAACTACTTGACAGATTTTTTTATATAAATCTTTGTTCTTGTTGGAATTCTGCCCGTAATTCTCAATTTTTGCTATCAGAACTCAACTTTTATGCAATAAAAATATCATATTCGGAATCACGATCAAACATTCAGTCACTCAGTTGATTGATGTACATTTCTATTCTATCCGAACACTTCGACGTTTTTCCAGTTTTCACGTCCAAGAACTATCGAGATCTTCACTAAAACCTGAAAATCAACTAAAAATTTACATATAATTTTTAACATACGATTGATTTCTTCTTCTTTCTAGCGAATGTTTCTCCATAAAGAAACGTTGTGAGGATCTGAAATTGAGATATATCTTACAGAATAGAGGTGGGATCGATTCGTGTTTTTTTGGAAACCGAACCAAACTGGAAAAGTTTTCGTATAATTTAATACATCGGCGGCGAATTCACTGATGCTCGAGCCTCACCTGATTGCTGCCAATCGAAGCCCTGCCTCACCTAATTTCGGATTCGACACATAGTTTTGAGCCGAGCTGGAAAAATTGAAAATACTCGAAGAGTGTAAAAACTTAAAAAATCTTTCAAGTTCAAAAAACCTTTGATATCTTGACTCTAGATCGGTTGGAAGTCTTCAAGCAATTTTTTTCGAATTCACCGTTGAAAAGTAAATATAAAAACGGTGTGTGATCAATTTCAAAGTGAAAAGCCTATCCAGCATGTCCAGCATCTCACACCAACACTCTAAAGGTTTTTGAACTCGAAGGATTTTTCGAGTTTTTACAATCCTTCAAATATTTTCAATTTTCTGACATGGAAAAAAGTTTCTGTTGTATATCTCTTAACCAATGAAGCAGATAACGCAGGAAAAGGAGAACTCGTTGACTAAACAGGGGCAGAAGAAGAAACATAGTGTGAATAGGCCAGGGAAGGAATAAAATCGTTCATTGTTGCAAACAAATATGAATAATCAATGTATGAAGAAAGAGTCAAACAGTTTATCATTTGTATATACGAGAGTTCAATCAGGCAAATGTTAAACCGGCTCAATTAAGAACGATATCTAGCCTTCACGCAGTAGCATTTTCTCGCATGCTCTTTCTAAAACCCCAAACAAAAAGTAACTGAAGTTGAACCAAGCTTTTCAGCGAGTAAGAAATATCTCGAACCGAACCGATTTCGGTTCGATTCGGTTTCCCATCTCTGTTAGAGAACACTCGACTCTACCTTACACTCTATGAAATCCGGAAAAAATTTGGTATTGAAGAGGGTGATAGAGCGATGGTTAACTACCGTTTATGGGATCCTTTTCAACGAACTAACTTATATGCGAAGTTTTATTCGAGTTGGTCATCTTGTATGTAATATTCCTGTTTTACAGAAACAATGTTTCGATCACGTTGTCATCGTCCACAACATAAATCCGATTCCATTGAATATCATACATCCCATTCACAAATATCGTTTTTATTATTACCATCATCATCACAATCAGTGAACAGCTCATCGACTAAATGCTCTCCACATTTACATCCAACTCTAATTACATTTCCTTCAAACGCCACACTAAAAATGATTTTATCACAAGCAGATTTTATTAATTTAGCTGCTAAATATTCATCAATACCAGTAACAACTACGGATGGTAATCCACAACATAATGCTGCTCATTTTGAATTAGAAGGCAAATCATTAGACGAGAATCTACAATTTTCATCAATTATTTTAATAAAAGCATTAGTATTAGTTATTAATGATAATATTCAATTAAAATTTCATGAAAGTAAACGTCTTCTGCCAGATTCTGTAACCATAGAAGAACATCGTAAAGGTTTAGTTCTTCGTCTGCCAATTGATAATGGCCAGCGATCAAAATCTGCTGAACAATATACCTATCCAAACGAAAGTTTAGATTTATTGTTTGATACATTACATGGTGAATTATCTTATTTAACTGAATATTTAAAAAGTCATTGGGGTGAAAGACACGAGTTTACAGTATATCCAATACAGCAAGAAAAACAATCTGAAGAGAAACAATGGAATGAATGGGAAACAGGAATATATAAAATGTGTGGTGATGTCGATGGTACAGTGAATATTGCATTAGCTTCTGATTGGTATGTATGTATATTTCTCATCATTGCCAATATTCATTCATCGATTTACTTTTTTCATAGGGGTGCTGGTACACTGGAGGCAGTACTTGTTGCTAGTTCAATGATGAACGGTTTAGATTTAACTATTCAACAACAACAAGCTACATTTAATTTACCACATTATTCTATACATTTAGGTGATATTTATTATGTTGGTTTACCAACGGAAGTTCAACTGTTGTCTTGGAATTAAACCGCATTGGGCAGAACGAGGTGTTCGGTGGCCCATTGGACAAAATGGCAGTTTTACAATCCCTGGAAATCATGAATTGTATAGTCGTGGCTTTGGTTATTGGGATTATTTTTTACCACAACTAGGTTTATTCAATCCTGAAGATTTAACACATCCTACACAACCACAGAAAACGTCATACTGGTTACTAGAAAATGAACAATGGAGAATAATTGGGCTTGATACTGGTTATGAATCATTTTCGTTACTAACAATTGATAATTTCTCAATTAAATTACCACAAGAATTAATGGATTGGTTAAAAACAGTTGTTGGTCTTGGTCCACAAATGACTGATAAACGTGGTCTACTGTTTTTCTCACATCATCAAGTTATTAGTGCATGGGATGAAAAACCATATACAGGTAAACGTCAGGTGTTTCGTGGTCTGTTACGCATACTAAATCAGATATCCGACAATTGCACACTTTCAACATATGTTCAGATAAATATCGTTTTTAACGTCGAAGGATGAATAAATTACCAATACACAGCCTAAAGTGTGAAAAAAAGTTAAAGACTTTTCTGTAATTAGAGGTGTATATGAAAGCTCTATCAAAACTGCTGAAGCTCTTTTTCCGTCTCTGGGTTGTTTTTGTAAGAATATTATGTAAGAAAAATTTAGAATGCAATCATGGAGGCAGCACATATCTGAAAATTCGCAAAAGAACGAAAGTAGGCTAAATTCATCTCATAATGAGACAGAAGAGCAAACTGATGATGTTCTGTGTTGATGTTGCTCTGTCATTTAGTTTTTCGTCAGATTTTGTAATATCAAATTCAGCGTAGCACGATTACCATGAGAGGTAGGTGTAACTTTTCGTACTAATATATCATTTGTTAAATTACATGTATGTAAACGATAATGAGAGTTCAGGGTGATTCCATGGGAAACCTCCCACTATATGTAAAATGTTCTTGAAACTCGATCAGACTTTCAGCGTTTATTCAACTATGTTTCGTGACTATTGAAATATATTTGCTTTTTCGAAAAAGTTATACCCTTGGGCGGTGGAGGTGGCACATACCTCCGATTAGGGTCAACTTGAAAATCATTATTCTCTACCAATAAGCGACATAGATGGTATCTAAGCATATGTGCTATGTACTTCAAGTCATGCTCTTTATAACTGCTTAATCAGAAAATTCTCACAGCCTATCTTCTATTTTTTGGATAATTAACAAAATATGCCCTTTTACCGAAAATGGTGGTAAAATGGTAAAGCTTTTTTTCTTACACTATCCACTTTTAAGTAACAGAAATATGTGTAATCAATTCCTCTCTTTATAAGCTATCGATTGTTATATAGACCAACTTTTGAATATAAACGGTTGCTTGGTGATAGAGCTTGTATTAGTATCAGTGCATGAAAAATGATAAACTTTTGATGACTAAAAAAGAAAATGGCTATATTCCCAAACAAATTCAGATCAACAGGCAGATTTTTAGTACTAAACGTGCTCTACAATTGGGCATTAACCGTTTTACAGTCCTCTTAATAGTTGTTGAAATTTTCGACAACGAAGTTCAGCAGTAGCCATATGATAATTGTGGTCGGTCTTTTGCCATATCTCGTCTCAGATAGATCAGAAAATGTTGAAACTTGCTACTATGGGCTAATTTTACATGGAGATTCTGAATTTGATGGCAAAAAAATAAAATAAATCATATACCCAATCTCTAGCAATGGCTCATATATCCTTTTGTATCACAGTGGGCAATTTTGACCAGGCACATGGACATATGCTGTAGAAGTGGTACGTAAGTCTATAAACATGTTTTTTATAGGTTTTTGAATATGCTCTTTCCAATGATGAGATTTCGGAAATCCAAAAATTATTTTGCTTAGATACCATCTATGTCGCTTATTGGTAGAGAACAATGATTTTCAAGTTGACCCTAATCGGAGGTATGTGCCACCCACAGTGGGCATCCAAGCGGACATTAGGCCGAAAATTCAAATAATTCGTATATCAAATATAAATAGTGTAAAATGTAGCCCTTGAAATTCTCTATCGAATGGTGTATAAATGTCTATTGTGAAAAT